AGAGTCAAAGCTGATATTCAAGCGATGAAAAAGCTTTTAGAAAACATTAAAGCAAATAAATTATTAAATTTTAATAAAGATATTGATTTTATAGAATATAATTTAAATTAAATTTATAATAGTTTATCTATAGGCTATTAACTTAATACATAGAGTTGTACAGTAATATATAGTTTATGTAAAGTATTGTTCATTTCTAGTCTTTAAGTTTTATTTTAATTTGTTTGACTGTAATATTAACAATTATTATATTTAATGATTTATTTTGTTGAAATTTAAATATTAAAGCGAGTAATTGTTTTAAGGAATTGGAATAAATAAAGTGATGTTAAAAAGTAAAGTATTATATTATTATGATTGCCTATTCTTACATTTTTAGATCTATTTCTTACAAATTGGTTTTTGGTATAAAATATGATAACGTAATGTGAATACCTGTTTATACCTTTAAATAAATACAATTTATAACCACAGCTTATATAAGCTATAAATATATTACAAATGCATAAAAAGTATTGATAAAATATTTTTATCGCTTGTTTTTATTTTATTATATCATTGAAAGTTAACATCAATTGATAAGAAGTCTCTTATTTTGAAAGAGCTATAAATTATAGTGTATTTCAATTACAAATATACTTTTATTTACTTAAATTAGTCGACAACTATAACCAAGTTTCAATTTGCATACTTTTTCACGCAAACCCGGATTTGTTTAAACTCTAACACAATTGCAAATAATTTATCCATTAATTCACTAAACTATTGCTAATTATATCAATTCCAATACACAACCAATCACTTCAAACATACCCATTGACCCATTGATCAAATATTTTATTGCAAAATAAAATCATTCATAAAATATCGTAAATAGAAATATTCAGTTTTAACCATAAAAACCTAAAATTTACGATATTTTGTCTTTAGAATTAAATTTTAAAAAAATTATCTACGAAGAAATTACATTTTTGACATTTAATTAGTATTTAAAAATATAATTCTATTTTTCAACCCCATAGGTTAACATGTAAATGTTAGTTCACTTTTTATTTAACCTGCTATTGTATAATTTGTGCTAATATATAAAAATCTACAATCCGATGATGTGGTTCTAACTGTAAGTTTGTATAAGTTATACAGTATAACATTTTGATATCTTTTCTACCTAAACCTAACCCCCAGTCCTCCCTATAATAAATACAATAGACTGACAATTTGCGTAAAGCATATCATCATTTCGCATATTTCCATAAAATATAATTAAGTGACCGAAAAATGGTTGTCACAAAAGTGGCCCAAAACATGCATTTATATAATTGTTAAATGACACGATTGTCATTCTGTAACGATTCCCGAGTTGTGATCAAAAAGATTGGCATTTAATTTGTAAGAATCCTATATATACTGGACATGTTGTAGAAGATGTTGAGATTATTAGAGCCTCAATGCATCAATTATTTGGCACAAATCTTCTCAAATAGATATCACGTTTTGTTATGATTAAAGACTGGACTTACTGTTATATTGATATTGATATATATTAATATTTAAGAATAACTTGCTTTATATTTAATATAATATTTACTTAAAATAAGTAAAATATTTAATTATAAAGTTTATTTATTAAAACTTAATAACTATTTTAAGCCACAATTCAGATACTGTAAAGAATTGGTTTATATGATCATTCGGCTAACCCCCGACCCCCAACCTATACGATTTAACATGTAATTACACCTTAAGTCTATACTTTAACATGGGAAAGCTCGTATAAGTTTAACATGGGTTTCTATGGCATTACAAATTTTGACAGGTTTAACGTAGTCAATGTTAAGTCTACAGATATGTATGGCAATGATAATACTATGCGTAATGTTAAGTCTGTGACATCAGGTTAACATGAGTAATGCTAAGTCTATGGCAATGATAATCCTATGGGATTTGACTAAACAAATTTGACAATTGAAATATAACTAAATATTGTTAAAAATATTTAAAATTGTGAAAATAGCAATATTCAAAGCATACTAACGATAGCATTAAAAATTTGAAATCTTTGATAAATCCCCGAATTGTGGTCAACGCATAGCATCGATGTGTGAGTTGTTTATGTGAATTAATAAACATTTTGAGCAAAATTAAAATTTTATTATATACAGTACAGCACAGATCATTGAATGCATTTAGGATTAATTACAAATATAAATTATAAACTCAATATTAATTAAAGAATGAATTGAAAGCAAATTTACGGCCAAATGAATGAGTTTTGTTCAACAATTTGCTTCCAAGAGGGAGAGGAGAGAAGCTCTTCCATTGGGATCTCATAGAGTTCTTCACACGAACTCAAACTCATATCAAAATCATAATCAAAATTCAGTTTTGTTGAGTCGTCTCTCAATTCTGTGTTTGTCTCCAAATTGGTGTTTGTTTTATAAGAATTTAAATTCTTATCATTTGAATCGCTTTTATCCTAAAGAATACGACAATTTATAAGAATATTAAGTTTTAATATATTTTATGCAAATTAAATCATTAGTAATTTGCATAAAATTTAATATAATTACAAATATTAATCAAAATAGCAAATAATTATAAATGTAAAATACCTTCAATTCATTTCGCTTTTTAATTGATTTTGATTTTAAATTGGGTTTCCTTTTGAAAGAAGTTTTACGCTTTCTATTGGATGTTTTCGACGGAATCTTTGCTTTATTGATGACATTATGAAGAGATTCACTCGATTTGAGGACAAAATTAAGCAATTCCTGTCCAATTGAACCCCAATTCTCTGTCGTATTATCACAAGAGACTGAAGACATTTTCAACGCACAAAACCAGAAGTGATGGTCTAATTAGACTATTAATGCAAAACCACTGATCAGAATATGAAATAGTTTTTCATTAAATAGTTTAAAGACTACAAGCAGTCTATTGTAGACTTTTTTCTTTCAATAATATTGATATAATTGTAGATTTCTTTGAGATGTGTTTTGTATGAAAATTATATATAAAGTGAGTCAACACAGGAATCGTAGTATTGATTCAATGATACCATTATCTCAATTGCTTTTCCGGAATAAAGTGTTTGCGCTGTTATTACTGCTTATCATTGCCTTTATGTTTCTCTTATATCTACCGCTCCGACGATTAACCACTTTATGGATAATTAATTATTTAAATTAATGCTTTGTTTTGCACTTTAGAATCATAAACACAGCAATAATAGTACTATTATTAATAACAAAGTAATTGTAATTTCTTTAAATATAATGGAAAATGCTTTTTGTAAGTCATGAAAGCGACAAAAATAATGAATAAAAATAAATAATTGTNGCAGTCTATTGTAGACTTTTTTCTTTCAATAATATTGATATAATTGTAGATTTCTTTGAGATGTGTTTTGTATGAAAATTATATATAAAGTGAGTCAACACAGGAATCGTAGTATTGATTCAATGATACCATTATCTCAATTGCTTTTCCGGAATAAAGTGTTTGCGCTGTTATTACTGCTTATCATTGCCTTTATGTTTCTCTTATATCTACCGCTCCGACGATTAACCACTTTATGGATAATTAATTATTTAAATTAATGCTTTGTTTTGCACTTTAGAATCATAAACACAGCAATAATAGTACTATTATTAATAACAAAGTAATTGTAATTTCTTTAAATATAATGGAAAATGCTTTTTGTAAGTCATGAAAGCGACAAAAATAATGAATAAAAATAAATAATTGTTTCATAATATAAGACAAAAGTCAAAGAGTTGTGAACAACTGTTGCGATTGCGGAGAAATATAGCTTTTATTGTCTTAAAAAGCAATAGATATAAGTTTTTCGATAAGTTTAGCACTAATTTTGAGACAATTCTGGAAATATTATTTATTTCGTTCTTTTGCTTAAATATGTGATAATTTTTCTTTATATAATTGAAATTATTATTATTTGGAGATTAAAAACAAGACATTTATTTTATTTTAATAAAATTTTAATTGAAAAATTACATAAATTTATTACTAAAACTAAGCAATGATTTAATAAATAATTTGTAAAATGTCACTAAAATCGCATTTATTATAATGATTGCGAGTATTATTTAGTGATATATAAAGTGAATTAAATATAAAAATAATTTGGTAATAGATTAATACAAATTGATATCAAGTCCACTAAATACAAGTCCATTAATACATTAACAATACAATCAATTTATAATAATTATACAATTATTGTCTACAAAGCAATGCTTTTGTCATAAAAATACATCAACAAAATCAGCGCTTATGATATGCAGTGGCAGTGCAAATGGCTTTTGGTATCCTAAGGGGAGTGTATAGGGTAATTTTATATAGGTTGGCATGCTTTAAAAGCAATATGTTCATTTGTATATACCAGAAGTTTTAAAATCCCATTAAAATCTAATTAATCATTCATTAAATCAATGCCCAACTCGTAGAGCAGTGCGTGTATAATACATATATAACTTTGGTTTTAAGAAAACATTCACAAACATAAAGCAATTAAAGGACTGACGGATTAACATAACGCTAATTGAGCGCAATTTCAATGGAACTGACAATTGTTGTGAGTCCTACACAGGGATTCAAATCATCATATAATGGTATCCGTAATATCATTAATGGATAGTGAGCTCAAGCGATGGTCGGACTTATAATTAATGGACTTATGCTATAATGTAATGTAAATTTTTGCTAAACATTATAAAAAACGTGTTAAACGTTAAATGAATTCCATTTCGCGCTCAATGCCCACAAACTTCAACTGTTCTGTCGGTCCGTATCGATAGTCAAAGAAGAGTTCCTCTCCCGACTGAATGGCCCGTTTGGCAAATATGCCGATCCGATGGTCGCCGTTAACCATCATTACCTTTGCGTAACAGTTGGGGTTCACTGAATGGTTGGCGAAACGAATCTTATTTCCCTTCCGAGTGGCGTCCACCACAAAGTCTGTCCAGATATGCAAACAAAACATTTCAGTAAACAATTGAAACCATTTATAACGGGAGACAAATGTATGGACAAACCGTTGTTTAGATTGAACAGAAAACTACACATGTATTTATCGTAGACTTTGCCCCTGCGGTCGGCCTCGTCTTGCGATATAATTTCGCCGCAATATTCACTAATGAATTCATTTTTCTGAGCGCTTCCCTCCAAGTAGATGCCCCAACCGGCCACGTCTGACGGCGCCAACAGCAGGTGTTTTCTCATTCCTCTTTGAACCGATACATTACGACAACTGATGTTTCGGTCATCAAATTGATCTGAAAGTAACGCTCATTAATACGTGACAATACATTACGAGTGAAAGCAATAATACCGGCGCCACAGGCCTGACACAAGTCGGGGTCGCACTCGCGTACAGCCAGATAACAGGGACACTGTTTGGTATTGCATTGGGCTTTACAGCGACAGCCGGGGAACCGTTGGGCGCAATCGGAGCTACAGTTGCAGAACTTTTCGCAAAAATTCTGTGCCATAACACAGGGACAGGAAGAGTCACAGGACTGGCCCGGATGGTCACATGGAGTGTAATTATAGACGTGATTGGATGAGCCGTCTTTTTTGAGCTGAAATTTGCGGCAATGGTTTGACCACAACCTGTGCTTCTTTTTCTTCTTACGCGGCGGTGTTTTGTCAATAATGTGATCCTCTTGTGGACCGTCTGTCACCTCTTTCTGAGCGAATACATAGACTTCAGCGCAAGACTTGCTCTTCAGAGTGGATGCGATAATACAGTAATTATTGTAAAGTGTTTTGATAAGCACTCGAAACATAGACTGTTCAGAACCACTCCATTCTGTGTTGATATCAGACAAACTGATGGTTGAGACCACTTCAGTGGTGGGCGACTCGTTGTCGTCGTCAGGAGAGGGCGGCGGCAGACAGTAGTCGTGATTATTTGGCGGCGAAAAGTTTTTTGACGGCCGATATTTGTTTCGTTTCGGAGTCATCAGCGGATTATTGCTGTCATCGTCTGAACACATTTTATTTGATGATATCTCTGAGTTGGAGAGTTG